CGAAATGGTTGACCCGACAGGCCCCTCGGTGTCCAAGATCATTGATTTATTACTATTATCTCCTCCCAGTATTGAGAAAAGTGTTATTCCATCAGTGATTATGTAAGATATACATAACCATGAAAAAAAAAAATTGAAATAGCCCCGAGGGCAATTAAACTGGCATGGAGATAGGCCACTGCCCTTTACCAGCCTCGAGGGCTCAGCAATACACATCCCAATGAGGAGTACCATAATGGAAAAGAAATATTAAGACCTTGAGAAAAACCGGCTACATTTCAATCACACACTACCAAGTCTCATCAACTCGAAATTCATATACATCGAACGAACCAAGACGTTACATACCAGCTCTACTGAATATGTAACGTCGTCCATTGTACGTATGTTTAATTAGCCCGAAGGATCGCTCTGATGGATAATCTGGGTCAACCAGCTGACGTACTTACACGCCCGAATGACAACATTTATTTTTAAACCCCTCGGAATCAACTGACCGAGGGTATTTCAAATTGCAGAAAAAGCCCAGTTGAAGGGGGAATGAGAAATTGATTGAACAAGATGAACACCTACCCGAAATAAGCTGGCGTCGATAGTATATTTCTGCAGGAAATTGAATAATCATTTGATGCCAGCGACAAAATACAAAATCAACGAAATTATTGAATTTCTGAAATTTTAGTATGGTATTTTTTATTCTTGAAAAGACTTGACATTCCATAAGTTTTTGTTTTAACAAAATTGAAATACTGACGCATCCGATTACTTCAGGCGTGCAAAAGTTTCCTGCAACAGTGCTAATTAATTTGCCACAAGTAAATCCACGTTTCTTGTAATTGTTGGGGAATAATATTTCCCTTATAACAAGAATAGTCAGTGCTCCCCGGGGAATATTGATCGATTTCGTTTCAAGCCTTTGGAATCCAGATACGGATCAAGTTTGAAGGATTTTCCATGGGAAAATTTATCAGAAAGACATGAAATCTTCATCGAATGCATTCAAATAACCCTGAGCTTCAGAGGCACATGTGTACATTCGGCATCGATCGCACGATCTATATGTCAATCAAAATGCAAATGACAATCGAATGCTTTTTTCATTTATCTCTAATATCTCTGATACTGATATTGTATTGCTCCACGTGCGTCACTTTCCAAGGAGAGGCGAAGGACCTTCTGAGAATGAAATGGGGCTGAAAGGAGGATCTCCAACGATGAGAAAGAGGTTTATCAGAGCACTAGACTCCTTCTGCACCTCCACCCTCACTTGCAGCATCTAGTAGTCCAACAATGAGACAAGTATCTCTGGTTCCTATCAATCCACGTGGATGTTTTTAATGACAAATACTCTATTGTTGTCACTTTCTCGAAATCTTACCCTGATTTGAATTAAATAGGATGGCTCATTTATCCGAATTTTTTTTGTTCAAGAAAAGTATCTATTCTTCATTATCGGAAATTAATTAAATTGTTTCCAATTCTTTTCAATGGAAATCATTGATTCAGTTCAAATAGTCCTATTGAAATTATTATTTGTTTGGATTAAGTGAATTGTCATTGGTTGTTTTTGAGTTTCAGCGAGAACAATTTAATATCTACAATTTATACAGAAATCCGAAAATAAATTGTCGACACAGACAAATTGGTTTGGCACTGACTAATGTAATTGACAGAAATAATTTTTTTCCTGGTTCTATGATTTTGTGGTACTATGATTTTATTTTGATACTTCAACGCAAACTCGTTCACTCATTCGTTTAATTCCTCTTTATTGTCAAAGTTGAATTACATTTTTTTTATGGTCATGCACTGAGAAATTAGAGCGAATGTATCTCATTTATTCAAGATCATGCCGCTTTTTCTGTCATGCCACGTTTTTTCGTGATTACTTTACCCCGTAAAATTTGGAAATTGAAAAAAAAATCGTACTCACGCTCACCTGGGAATTTGTGGAACATTCTCGCTCTTTAATAGGTCCTTGAGAGGTGTTAATGAAAGGTGTAATTAGCGTTGACATTCTAATCTTATCTCAAATATTTCAAATATTTCTTTGTCGTCTTGTAAATCAAGTGTTGAAATGATATTAGATATTCGTTATTTGCGCACGGAAAAACTCAGTTAACTCTTCCATGGGATAACTCTTATCAGTGATTCACTACTCGAGATGATATCTCAGCACCATTTCGTGAATATTTCATTATTCAGGTACCCTATTCTGATTAATTCTGATAGATAATAAAAAATGCGTAATCCTGTGAGGATGAGCAATTTATGACAATGCAAGTTACGCAGAATGTAAGTATATACTTTTCTCGTTAAGAGTTTATCGTTTGAGAGGAGATATATCTCTCGAGCAACGAACCTCCAACATTGATAGCGATGAAGCACAAATGTCAACGACCTGATAGGTCTGATGGTATCAGAACGGACCTACCTGACGCCAGTTTTTACATACATGAGCTCAAATCATAAGTCATTTTCTTATTGAATCAATCGATACGTCAAGACTGTGCGTCGACAGAATTTATCTATTGAGAACAGTAGATTCCCATCATACTGGGGTGTCTGGGACTGTAGGGGAAATCAATTCAGTAAAATTAATTTTTTCATAGTAAATTCGAATACGAGACTAATTTATATTTCGGCGTTATAAAAATAACGCAAATATTATTTCCTATTTTTGTGGTTTCCGAGCGGATGCATAATTGTTGAAAAAATAATTATAAAGTGGAAAAATTGTTGAAGGGTGTCACACTCAGATATTGATTTCAAGGGATCTACCAAGTTTACGGAAGAATAGGTAAAAATAAGTAAAAAATGCTGATATGTAGTGCAGAATTGTGCGAATTCGCTGTTTGAATTTTGAAACGGTTTTCCTAATTTTCCGTATAGCTCCGGAGGATCATTCATGGATCGTCATCGTGTGTGTCAATAGAAATTGCCGGAAGAATTAATGAAACGTCATTTTACCTTCATATACTTAGGCCTTCGAAACCATTAGAATTCTTGGGCGCGTTAATAACCCCGAGGTCGTTATTAACCTTCTCGCAGGCCTTGACACGGTCGACTAAGCCTACAAGTGCAAAAAATCTACCGGAAGGATTTGTTTCGATAGGAATTCACAGATGATAATGATAATTCCTCGCTACTCCTCTTTTTATTTTTTTTTTTTCAAGGACAATTCAGCTTCTTCCATCGAAGAGATTAAGTAATTTTTTCCCAGGATGAAGGAGGATCAGAATTCCTCCGTCTGTTTCACCTCAGGGATTTATTCAGATGAAAGTTTTCTTCTATTATTCAATCCAATTAAATTTTAAGAGAAGGGACATTGATTTTCATTCACTCGTGCAATTTCAAGTTTCACTGAAGATTCACAAGAATTTCAAATCAGTCTTGACACTCAATGATTGTGTAACGTATTGACGAAATTTTTCACCTTGACAGAATAGATAACGTGATGAGTCTTAATGAAAATAAAAATTATACGGTCATTATTGTATGGTATTTTTATTCTTACTCAAAGCGACTAGTGCTTGAGAATTATCACAGTAATTATCACAGACATGATCAAGGTCAAAATCACGAATTCTCATAAAGAAATCCGGAATCCGGAATCCGTTAAAACTGACGGAACAAATCCGTCGAATTTTCAGTAGATACCTCTCATCGTGAAAATATCAAAGAGCTCAACCGGAAAGTTCCCTGAAGACTACTCAACGTTACTTTTTCCACTGGTTTCAGGTAACATCAGCTAATATGAAGGACGAAGTGGAAGAGGACGAGTCTGGGACAGCCACAACGAGCACCTCCACAGATTCAACCACGTCTTACTGGTAAGTCCTTCAAAAAAATCCCTTTACCAAAGAAAATCTACCGACATACGCACCCAATTATAATTTTAAGGTAGTACTCCTGTATATCAAAGCAACGATGACACTTTGATGAAAATTACAGATCGGTTTTAATGCAAACATGACTCAGTTAAATTTTTGGAAACCTGGATGGACCAAAACAATAATTATTAATTTTCTTATCTTCCGACAATTAACATTGAGTGTTTTTTTTTTAATTTTGAAAACACCATCGATAAATTTTTCATGAAATTTTTTTAACTATATGTACAGATGTTGAAGAACATTTTGCGCGTTGAAAACTTTTTATTCGTGGGCTATAAATTCTGAAATTAATTAAGGGTGATGTTAATCTGTGTGGCAACAGTGCTCCTCAGGTTTGGTCAGCTCTCATTACAGGAACACAACACACACATGGAAACGTATCACACAGGCGTGCAAGTCGTTGAGCAACGTTGCCAAGCAAAACTATGGCGATAATCAGAGTTATCAGTACTCTAGCTTGACTCATGATCTACCGGGAGTACTACCTTAAGCCCATTCAGTGTAGCTTATTATTAGCGATCTGTTTTTTCTCTTTTTACTTTCACTTTTTTTTTTCGAGAATTCCACTTGTTCTATCGGTCGATTAATTGCCAAATACTTAATCAATCTACATATCTATATTCAATGATAAAAAAATTTCAGAAATTAAAAATACCGCAATTTCTAATACGCCCATATAACCCCAACATCCCCAATATGCAACTAAACAATGCGTTTTTTGTCAGGGATAATTTTTAATTAATTTTCATTAATCCGTGAATAATGGCCTCGAAAAATAATGCACTTATCCTATATGTTTTACATCTTCGGAATTATTCATCCTATAACAAAAATGATAAATCTCGGATTTCAAAACAGAATCCGGAATTTTCAGAAATTCCAATAGTTGCCTCTGATCGTAAGAACAGAGTGATCCCCCATAACTATAAACGTATTCACGTGAAAAAATGGTAATAAAATATCGTTGCGTTATCAGATGGTGCAAAAAATTGTGGGAAAAAAAAATATTGATAGGCCACCAGGAGGCGGCGTCTGCTACCGAGAAAGACAGACGAATTTTGAGGTGGGGGTAAGCAGCAACCGCCAGTTTGCGGCCAACCGCCGTCTGAGTCGTGTCTCTGAATTCATCACTCATCGCGATATTTTTAACCCCTTTTATCCCTATTTTTTACTCAATCTTGAAAAAGCAAAGAACCACCACCACTAACCCAGCGACGTCAGTGACTGGAAAATACTCTAAAGATTCCAAATCTTGGCGAATGAGTTTTTAAAGTTCAAAGAGGATTAATGAGTGTCAGTGCTATTTATGTTTGAAGTTTTTAATTGCTGTCCCCGATGTTATGATTATTCCCGGGAAGAAGGGGCGGACGTACCCGGCAAACAGTGACTTCCGCTATTTTCCAGGCTGCGCAGTTCATTCGTAATATATTGAACGTTGTCAAGGTCAAGAATCCGGATCACCGGCTATAGTCAGTGAACAGTGCTGTACTATTGTTTTTACGATTTTTTCCATTTTTACTGAAAATAACGAGAAAGACATTGAGTCAAAGCTCATCACGTCTATTATCCGCAATTGCGAATTCTTCTTTCTTTTTTTTTCGTCATCTTTTTTTGCCTTTCATTCTTGAAATTTATTCAGTTCGTGGGGAGTTGTGGGTGTGTATGTGTGTGCGGTGCGATTATTTTTTACTCAAATGAAAGAAGTTGAAACAGGGGCAATTCAAGTCCACATGTGAAGTGAAAATAGAAGGAATAGAAGAAAGATACATTTGAGAAGAAATGAGGAGACTGGAAGAAGAGATTTGAGTGGATGAGTGTGGCGAACTGGTGAAGAGTGATTTGAAAATTGTCGACAAAGTGATAAGCCGGCCGGGAGTTAATAAATATTCCAACGTATATTCCTCCTCCCCCTCCTCAGAGAAAGAGAGATGGTCAAGTCTACCAGTCAAACCAAGTATCAAAAATAAACTTTGAAAATAACAAATTGGGGAAGTTGAGGGTCTCAGTGAAGACTGACTACGACCACTGACATGAAATTTTCAATTATTACAAAAACAAATAAGAGTCATAATTCGGCATAACCCAGCGAGTAAAATTTTTTTTTTAATGATGTTTGCTACGGTTCGGCTGAGATAATACCCCAACGTTATCTGTCCTCGGGCATGATCGCTGTTGCCAGATTATTTCCAAGGCTAATTTTAATGCGACAAATATATATTCTGAGGAGGCCAGATGAAGATCATTAATTAGAGACTCAACAGGATGGTATCTCACAACTTCAATAACTGGAGAGACGGCCATTGACATCGATAATAACAGTACAACAACAACAATACGTTGGGGATATCCGACGTAAACCCATGTATCTTTTGATTCAAGATGGCGGAATATGTTGTTGCAATACAGCATTGGAAATTGTTGATCAATATGAAGGCCTCACTTGATCAGAGTTCAAGTTTTTCTCATGCACTTGAGCGATAAAAGTGGATTCTTATTGGGGAATATACCTTGGATTTTTTCGGTGGAAAATTGTTCGAAAATGTGGCCACATCAGCAGGCTCAGTATCATCCTGGTGTATCGTCACTGACGGAACAAATGGACAGGAGACAGTATCCTAGCATCATGCCACCTGATACTGTTAGCCAAACCACGACGATACATCAGCATCAAAGAGAACCTCCACGGGAATCCGCTGCTTGTTCGAGGTCAGTCCAATAATTATCCCAAATCTAAACTACAACGCCATTCGTTGTTGTTATTGCGCATTTGACGGTATGATAATGCTCTCGAGAAATCTGAACAACGCCATTTGAGTTGTTTTATCGTGTTATTGGATTTTCTGAAAATGTTAATCTCCTCGAATCCCCCTTTATCCTGATTATTCACGGGGGAATTTCTGATTCATATGGTAATTAAGACCTTGTCCAGACGATTCACTGGACCCGTTCTGGTCTCACTTTGGGCACTTGCCCTTGGGGCTTCGTTTAAATGTGGGTAATTGTTAAATTTTCAGTGAACGAAATTGCGTAAGCCACTTATTAGAGCGATGAACCGAACCAACGCACATTCGCCTAATCAATTGAATCAATTTTTAGTTGATCTGTCTTAAGGCCTATTTGCGTCCCATTTTTTTTCTTGGCTAAATCCACTGAAATCCATGATCTTTCAATGAGAGATTGAATATCATTGACTGTGAAGGGAGGCCTCAATGAGTATCTGGGTGTGAATAGCTGTTTTAGAAGAGACATAGTTGTTTATCAAGTGAACTTTAGAAACGTGGATAATAAAAGAAATGGTATTCACAAAGCTGGTTCTTCGGGTTTAGCTCAAGGCGGAAAGTAAGGTGGCTTTGTTGTCTGATTGATTATTTAAAATTACGACTGTTGCACTCATTGAGAAGCTGCACAAGCCGACTCCAGGCACTATGGTGTCGACAAAAAAATCTCATGGGTCATCAGTGAAGACTCAAGAATATTTTGGTATTTTAATAGGAGTACAAGGTTACACTCTCAGGGAATTGATTTTCGAGTTCATTGAGTCACTCGTGAGGTCCCCAATTCTTTTTTTATTCTTTGCTTTCGATTGATTGTCTCATATACTGAAGCTCACGGTCTAGGAAGATTGTACGGTTAGCTAGCAAGTGTCCAAACTCATCAATATTTATTACTCATCATTGTAATAACTTTTGCCATTATTTGAACATATGAATGATTATGAAAGACGGTTGACTTTTTTACGATCGGATCGACAGGATAGGCGAATATGAATTTCCGAATTCCGAGGCCGTATCAACAGATTGAAATGATTTTACGTTGTTTGCACCTGTCAAGCCGATTGACACTTGATACAAATTTAGTTCTACCCACGTATTGTTCTGTCATTGGCAATATTTCCACAAGGATGCATTAAGTGAAATATCCCAGCGGTCAAGCACGCTAATCTTTATTGTCAAATTGTTGTCTCTTCTGACGCCATCAGTCAGTTGATAATGATGAGAAACATGCCCAGGAGTGGCGTAGATTCTTGTTCTTTTTTTTTTTTTTTGTTCTTCGACCACCAGTTCCATTCGTGATGTGATATCGTGAATTCTGATATTGCAAGTGGGCCGCAGTTGGCCGTGGAGGGTACGTTGAAGAAATTTAGATAATTTCACGGAGAAAATATTTCGCTCGTGTGGGTGGATAACTGTCGAACACTCGTATTTCGTTATTATGTCAAGAAATTACGTCTACATTTTGACCTCCCACGTAACCCTCGATTTATCCCGATTGTTGCTAATGAGGTATATACGGTAATTTGAAATCATTTCAGAGAAAAAGCTATCCGACGACTGAGAATTCTTAATAAAATTAATGGTAGACGTTTCGATTAATGGATTGAGATTTTTGTAATCTTCATATTTTAGGAAATTTGATGGAAAACCAAGAATATGTATATGTATATTTTCAAGTGAATATAGGATAGGGTTCAGGTTCGATTCACGGCGAGGGAAAATGGTTCGATCTGAGCACCATTTTTAAACACTTTTTTTTAATTAAAAAAAAATTGAATAGCATTGAATTCCATTGAAAGGAAACAGACCGACGAACATTTTTTTTTTGTTGAAAATCGATAGGACGTAATTTTTTCAACTAATTTAAAGATCCTATTTATTGAAAATCGGGGAATACATTTACTCGATTTTCCCTGATTTTCTTGAATTGTTTGGAGTGATTGAGTAATTCATCATACATAGCGTTATAATTTCTCATTGGCCAAAATTCATCAATAACTGTAATTTCCCGTAGATTGGTATCTCCACAAATCAAAACTTCAATCCATCATTTCTATTGAACAGTTCTATTTTCACAATAATTCCCATACTCAATTTGTCAGGCACAATTTGTCTTGATAAGTCCAATATCAGTATGATTGAAATGCAGGGAGTGTTCTTGCAATTTCCTGCATAATTCCACTGGGTGTTGAAAATCGTATTCACGATTTCCACGTGTCAGTTTCAAAAGTTAGTGCAGCACGCGCTTGCACTTTCATGATGGTCACAAACTCTACATTGTAGAATGCACAGAGTTGACACAGTGCAGTACAACAATAGTACAACTTGGCAGATGTGATGGATCTATATCGGTTGATGTATGTCTTCTCATCGTAAAATGTTGTTCAATATTTGCTGCAAAATAGATCACCTATCGAATAAAAAGCGAAACTCATCGAAGTAATTTACAAACCTCTCAAGGCAATTCGAGAGCAAGTATTTGTTCCAACTTTACAGTACCTTTACTGCAATGCACAAATTAAAAGCTCGACGAATTCCACCATCGATATTGCAGATTCTCTCAAGCTTAACTTCAGATATGCAAATGAAGCACTCAAATGTAATGGCGTCTTCATTACCTTCGGAAACTTCATTAAATCTGTACGGTATAAGAATGCAGATTTATTCAAGGATTAACCCAACTGATTACATCGAGAAATCCTAGTGACACCAAGTCCTGGCATATTTCTCGTTAATAAGTCAACGCAGTTTGAAGTTACAATTCTCCTGTCAACATTCAACAATTTCTCTGACATTTCAATTAACTTCAAATCATTAATTCCATGTGTATTGGTTCTCTGATATTCGAAATCCACGAATAATTAACTGATTTGATTTCAAAGCATAAGAGAATCCGGCTCAATCGATTTTAGAGAAAATCAACAACAAAGTACCATTACTACTCAACTGATTGTCAACGAAGTTCACCCAATACTTCCAGTGAAAATATGAATATTCATCCCAACGACGTGACTTGTAATGCAGATATAAGTTCTACTTCATATTTATACTCATAAATATTTACCGACTGTCGTCAGTTTCTATTTCCGTATGCAACACTCAAAAAAAATTGCAAATTTCTGATAGAAATGTAATCTAAACACATCCGTACTTCTAATGTTTTCAATGGTTCAACAAACTGCGTAACGCAGTAATTACCGTTGATAATCAAATTACACGGTCTCTCATTTAGACGTGCGATCTATGGCGCATGCGCATCCCCACGCTTTTGACGGAGCACTTGATTTGCGCAGATGCGAGGGCGTGCTAATCATTCGAACTAAGTCCATAACAATATTCCATAACGAATCTCCCGACCTCGCTGTCCTCTACCTAAGACATTACAATCTCCACCAATCACAAGTTCTCTCATCTATTGCGTGACAACTTGTGCTGATCGTAATGTCTAAAAACATTTTTTAACATCAAACATTGCTTGACGTTAGAAAAAAAAAAATGTCAGCGTTGTTCTTGAACCAAAAATCATTTCTAGATTCGAGAAAATAGTTTTCTTGAATTGGAAAATTTTTTGTCCAACATTAATAATCGTTTTGTCTATTGGAGACAGTCACCTGAAGGATTAATTCGCAAAAATCACAATTTTCGGTTGTTATCCTTAATCAGGGCCAGATGATTGGACAAATATCTCTATTATTCATGATAAAATAGTTGAATGCTAATGCTTATGGCTAGAGCAATCGTTCAGTCTACTGTGACTAAGAAAATGGCAGAACGTGGGTGTCCACCGAAGGTTGCACCAAACCTTGAATTTTCTCTATTCGCAAATTGTTGACAGACAATTGTCTAATTCCGCTGACTAATCAAAACATTCTTTGTTCTCCGAAAAGAACTCATTGTTAATGCTCTATATATTCCAAAGAAGCTCTATCGACGAAGAGTAATGTAAATCTTATTGTAGGCCGAATTGAATCAGATAAAATTCGACGTAATGCGGATGGTGCCAGAAGTTTCGACTGATTTGTAGTGATTTGGCAATCAATCCCCTATAAATTATTTCAAGTACTTTGAAAATTTCTCTGATGCAGTTGACAAATAACTTCCTTCCCGAACTCAGGAGAAATAGATAATTCAAAACGATAAATGACAAGCCACCAATTATAATAAATTTCGCATCACTAGATTATTTCTTGCACAATTAGATGGATGCCAGATTGTTAACCATGTATGACGCAGAATAAAACATCTGCATCAATCATCAACTTACAAAGTAACAAAAAAATAGTAACTTACTATTTTTATGACTGAACAAGTCGTGTGAGCTTCATCGCGACACTTAGGAAATTGATGAGATTCAAATAAAGAGTCAGCGGTTGACCTTAAGTTTTCTAACTTTCCCACATGAAAAGAAATCCGTACACAAAATAACGAATATGTACATTATAATAATAAATATATAGATAATATCCATTATCAACTGGTTTGTCAGGCAAGTCAGATTATGACGAATACCAAAGAGTAGATTGACCATATGACAAACTGAAGAGTGAAATAAAAAAAAAGGAAGAAATAGAGAGAAACGTGACCATGCATATGTACAGATTTATAAATAATCTTCGGAATATTGGTAATGCTGAGGTACATTATCACCAATGAATTGACTCCAAGCTCATGTCAACGGCAATTAGTCTAATTTGTGTAATATAGCCATATCGAGCGGATTGTGCGTGATATGGGTGGAGAGAAGGTTGATATACGCTTGCGCAACAGGTTTGTAGGGAGACCTACCTCAACGAAAGAGACCAAGACTGGTAAGGTCCTACCACAACAACCATCGGATTTTTCCTCGAGGCCTTGGCGATATCTGTTGAGAGTTCCTTCCTACTGGCTCTATAGTAAGACCACTGGTTGCCTAATCGAGGAACAAAAGCATTCCAATATCAATGATACCGCAAGGTGGATGGTTCTTTGCCATTCTGCATTTATGAAAGTGCATGAATAATACATCTATTCACTGGATGTCTCTTTCATTAATGTTTCCTCGTGTGTGACACAAGATATATTATCAATTTGTGCACTTCGTACAATGTTTCTACGGCACATTTGAGACACCAAGGAGTATTATCAACGTCGTCATTATAGTTGGCTTTGTGCCTGCACCTCTCTCACCTATGTTACATTATTATTGCCCTTTGATGCAATAATGCTGCCGCTGTCTGTCGCAGCAACAAGTTAACACTTTGGTTTCTGATATACATTCGGAGGTCAAATTCAATCACCTCTGTGGCCACCGTCAGTCATTATCATTATTAATTCACTTCGTTATCAGTATGGCTTAATGCGCACTTGGGAGAACTTTCGGGATGGAATTCAAGGTTACAGATCTAAATATTACATCGAAGCATATTTTAATATATTATAATAAACCAAAATTAGACTACTCACAATAGTTTTGAATATTTTTAACAATTATTTTAAATTTGTAAATCCTTAAATATGATGAATTGTTAAACATGCTGAAACTATTATTATTAAAAAAGAAGACAACTAGTGAAATGGTGTAAAAAAAATTCTAAAAATCTTTCACATACGTAATATTGTCGAATGATATTTAGATCTGCGATATTTTCACGGGTAATAGTTCAGTCGTTGAAACCTTTTAGCTGGTACTGTTTTTAGAATTAATGTTACTTTCAGTAATATTTAAACGTGATACCGGAATTCAAGCATTACACTATTTTTGCATAACTGCATCGAATCTGTACGTGTTGAAGATATGGCAAGGACGTGCCAACATTCACAACTGTTCTATGTTTGATCTTACCGCAAATAGTTGTATTTGTCAGCGGAGTTCATGCTCGACGTATATCAACTTTTATTTTTGTTATGCACGCAGGTATTTAATGACAAGACAATACGTGGTAGTGTGCTTTTAGCTTGATGAGAATGTTGGTCGAGTTGTAAAAAAAATGGCGATACTTCGTTGCCTGTACACGGCAATTATTAGAAATGACTTGTCTTTAGAAAAAAAGGAAACATCTTTAGTGCGCTATCTAGCCTTCACCTAACCTTCGTACCAGCCAATGTCAAGATAATCGACATCCGTATTTTTTGTTAGATTCTTTCTATTCTCAGTGTTAGGTAAACTCGGTGGTTAGTAAAAATAATTTTAATGGTTACCAGTATTGCATAATCAGCAGGCCATGCGAGAGTTACGAGTTCTTCGAATTTTATGTGATGCTGTTTCACTGTGCTTCCAATTTTATTTGAATTGTTGATCGCATTTATTTCGCGAGCGGTATTCGAATTGAGGAGGTATATCGATAATCCTCAGGAATGAAAATTGTCTCCAACTGTTCATAAACCAGAGCTCGTGTCGTAACAGAGATGAACGTTATCTCAACAGTGAACTTGTAAAATCTCAATCCACTTTTTTCCATCTCTCAAGTGCCTTTCGAAATATTATTCTTCAGCAATTCAATCCCATCGACCATTCGATGACAGTTATTACACATTGATTGCATATCTGAGTGCATTTTTGCTGAATGCAGAGGAAAAAATTGGTAATCAATGGATCTCTTGGCTTTATCCATCGTTACGTAGTGTCTTCTAGCTTTATTTTCTGCTATTACATTCTGCTATTTTGTCGCACAGTGATTAAAGTTATCAAACTGTAATGACTGATGGGAAGATAACAACTCTACCGTAACATTGTTGCCTCATGCAGGAAAAAGCTTCAAGTGGATTAGATTACGACTTCTCGATTCGCCGGCATTGGCTCAACTCCTCCAATTGTCCAAGTTTTAATTGTCTCAAGTGATAATCGATCTGGCAACAGTTACATCTGTAACGCCAAGTTGTTCCCGAGATAGGAGTGCACTATGTCTGGGATATCTTTGACTTTGCTCTGTTCTACAATAAATAAATGGGAAAAGTACATCCGCAAAGTTGAGTAAGTTGAGTAGGATGGTATCATCTTCACGTCTGGCCCTGGAAGTCTGGGTTTGAAACGCGTTTCTTTATTGTCCCCCTTGCATTCCTAGAGAGTATCAAAAATCCTATCCACAACTGGGAGAGGATGATTATAAATAAGTTTCGTCTTGTCTCGGAGATATTATGTGAATCAGATGGAATACTATCTGTGCTGTCTCGTCTCACTATGTCACTTTTTTTTTTTTCATTCATCTTATTTCTCAAGAGTTTTCACGCGATTCATGACGTCAATCGAATTTTTGTGATGACTGTAAATTTGCGGTACGATCGTCATTCAGGTGAAAAAAATGCAGTAGTTGGCAATACGAGTACCAGTTGTATCAACTTTTTATCGCGTCGATTATTTTCATTGAATAGATTTCTCCAAGGATTCATTAATTCATTGAATAATCTAGATTTCTTTCTATTTTTTGGAAAATATTTTAGATTCCTGTCTTCCTCAAATACGAATTTTTAATTCCGTCAATTTTCCTTTAAAGTACTGAACGACGGAATAGATTGCTGACAAAAAACCATACATTCTTATTTTCGAAGTGGAACAATATCTTCTCGGACTGATAAATGGTATCGCAGGAGATACTGATGGGTTAAACATTTTTTTTTTAATAGTCCCTTCCCTCTACAGATTTCTGCTTCATCCATTGCTTGTTTTATTGAAAATGACACTGATTGTGAGAATTTATCTTTTCTCCGACTGTGAGAGAAACAAAAGGAACGGAAGAAACATCAGTAAGGGGATTCGCGTCTAGAGTGATAACTATTCTCATGCGTTGAACGATTAAAAACAAATATAATTATTTAAAAATAGTCTCTGAATATTCAACTCATTATCCAGAAATTATTCAGAGATCGCGGCTTGGCAAATTGTAAGATAATTTACAGACTGTATGACTATGACTGATATTTTCTCGATAAACATTCATAACTAAAACAAAAATCCAATCATTGGAAATTGGCGCGTATGTGTCCAAATTTGTTAAATTTATTTTCTCAGAACAATTTGAATCTTCGGATCCTTGGACTTTCACTGATGTTCTTATTTTTTTTTTCTGAATTTTCTTAACGAAAAGTCGATAGAAAAGTATAGCATCCAATATTTAAATAATCAATAAATCATAAACTTTCAACGAAATAAGCCGTTTACGAAAATTTCGTGGAAACTTTTCCAAGCTTACACCAAAGCGATCTTGTGTTG